CATCATCTCCATAAAAGACAAGCAGGTGACAGAACCTCCAGCAGAAAAGTTCCCTGCACGCCTTTAAAGTTGGGCTACGTGAAAATAGTCTGTTTCATCAAAAGTTATGGATCATATTTCTAAAGCTCTAACTTTGAGATAAGTTTAAAAGGTTTTGGTCCTATAGCAGGAGTGATGCCCAAACACAGCTGTAGGCTAAAATCAAAAGTTCACTGTATCTTCGACTGTGGTTCATGGAAAATCAGATTCTTCTCGGAGTCTGGCTGATACAGGTATTTTTCTCACCGAGCGCAATACACCACCAATATTTCTCTTCAGGGTAGGTGTTGGATTTGTTAAAGGTGCATTGTGTAACTTTTCTGGCGGCAGGTCTGCAACCTGCTTTTCTCCATGGAGATGTTTGGCCTTAAACCTGTCTAGCTATCTTCGTGGAGACCAAACCAGGCCAAGTTACAGGTCAAATCTGTACAGAGGCAACCTCGTTCACAGTCAGAATATCTGTTTTTAGCTATAAAACCAACTATAATAGAATAATTGGTTTAATCTGATTTAATCATATTGTGGAACATTCAAAAAAGAGCAATAGCATATCCATAGAAACAAGAAGGAGACGAACCCCGAACCAAAAAGTTACATAATGCACCTTTAAGGCTTCGTTTGCCAAGAGCCCAGAGGGGAGTCCAACTATTGGGACAAATCCTGCAGAGAGCAGCGCCTCTAGGCCAAGTTACAGGTCATATCTGTGGAGAGTTGCGCTCACTCATTGTTTTGCTCAAAACAAAACGATTATCAATGCAATTTATGGAGGCGTAAAATACAAAATGGTTATTCTTTTGTAAATTATGCCTGCCCTCACAAGATATAATTCACCAATAAAAAGCATAAAAACAGGAAAATAAGGTATACTTGAAAAAGTAAAGAGACATTTTTCAGCAGACCATAGAAGAGAAAAGAGCTGTGTGATTGACTTGGAAAGAAACCTTTTCAAAAATCATTTGAATGTGGTGGTTCTAAATTGCTTTTTTGCACAATGTGACCAATGGCCATTGTTCTGTTGTTGACTCGGAAAAGGCATTGTAAAATTATGCACGAAACATCAAAGAAACAAAGGCATGTGTCCTGTACTGATCACAAACAAAGAAATGATCTGTAACAATACAAAAAAGTTTATATCACGATTTTTTTTGGTTAAAAGGTGCCATCACCAGCTTGTCTTCATGGAAATGTAGTATGGCACTATAGGAGTGGCATTAAACGTATCTATTCCCATGGAGACGAGCCCGCAACGCCTCTAGGCCAAGTTACAGGTCATATCTGTGGAGAGTTGCGCTCACTCATTGTTTTGCTCAAAAATGTATGTATTTTAGAGCAGAACAACAAAAAATGCATCATATCGTGGCCTATGTATCGAGGTAAGTATCGTATCGGCAACGTCTTAATGATACCCAGCTCTAATGACAATATTCAAAATAGCAGATCATTATAGGGATGAACTGAGAACTATTTTTATTGCCATATCGTCTAGTCCAACCAGCAGGATTCACTTTCTGAGGTAAAGTGTATCATGTGTCTGAGCAAAATGTGTCTTGCCCTCGTGCAGATGTATAAGCAGCATACTTGTTTTATTGTCATGGCAACTTCAACTTTGAAAACTTCAGTTGTGAAAAGATAAGATAAACTTGTTATTTGTTCCACAGTGGGGAAATTACAGTGTTGCAATGCACAGTTCAAGAACAGCAGGAAAATAAAAACATATAATCAGAATCAAAATAAATTATACTGTAAAGATTTACAATAGACATCAAATCTAACACAACACTGTGAGCAGAGTAAAGCTGTAAGGATATAAAACTTTGTACAATTAGCAGCTCTGACTGTGGCTACGTACAGAGCAGCATATGGATAAAAATAAATAGCAGTCATCATCCAAATAATTCCTAGTGAAGGTGTATGGAGTTTAAAAACACATGGGAGCACTTCCTGTATTACAACATGACATCACAAGGTGGAAAACTTGCGAGAAAAACTCAGCCTAAATATGCAGGTTTAGTGTGTTAAACATGTGTGAAACAAATAAAACACAACTCCAGGTATGTTAGAAAAGAGGGTAATATGGGCCCTTTAAGCATGATGATTCTATTATTATTCTAAGTGTTATTGATCACATATCAAACTCAATTGCCTCATCTGATCAATACAACCTTTACGCATTATGCCCTCGTGTGCACCCGTCACTGTAAGAAAGCCACGCTCCTGGAGTCCTGTCTCATTAACTGATTTCCAATGACTCCATATTGACCATGTTTGAACTTTCCTCAAAGCAGCATCCATGTTATCGACAGCTGCCGTAAGTCTCCATCAGTGTGTCAAACAGATGGTTCAATACTAAAACAAGCCAATATTTACCAATGACTCATGTTTTTAATATTTTCCTTAATCTGTTGTAGTTTTAGTCCATCATTGCTTCCTCGGAGTGGGTGGTTTTGGGTCTGTGGCCAAATGAAGACTCATCTATCTGAAGGTTTTCAAAGAGTTTAGCTTAAATCCATTTTATCTGCAGCTCTTTAAGTCGGGGGGTTATCGGTGTTCAGTCCCACCAGGAGTTCACATAGTTCATGCAATTATTAACATTAGCGTTTAGCATATTAATAAGCTTTTCAATCAAGTCTCTGATATATTGCTATAAAGTTCAAGGCCCGTATTATGCGATTTTCTATTCTCTGTTATAATAGTTGTTTCCTCATCACAAATACACCTGGAGTTGTGTTTTGTTTCATTCACACATGTTTAACACACAAATCCTGGCTGTGTTCTTCTCTCAAATTGAAAACACTCTGCTCCACTTTATGATCAATCAATCAATACAGGAAGTGCTCCACTGTGTTTTGAACTCCATACACCTTCACTAGAATCATTTGGATATTTTCAACTTTGGAATGACCAATCTCCACGGAACAAAAGGTAAATCAGTCAATCAAACTTTGTTTATAGAGCGCTTTTCATACAAACGTGCAACACAAAGCATTTAAAAGGAGCTGTTAACTTAAAAACCATCACTATATGACATCACAAGTTGGAACAGAGCATTTTGAGCTTTGGAGATGAAGATAGACTAATAATAATAAATTGTGTGAATGAAACAAAACACAACTCCAGGTACGTTTTTGATGAGGTAACAACATTATAACATGGCTTAAATTTTACAAGTCAATTTTGTGTAATATAGGAGCTAAGAATAAGAATAATATGAAGTTGTAATCTTTTCGTAGTAGCGCATTGTAGTTACATTTTTAAGCAGAAATGTCTCATCTTCACAAGGGCACAAAGCATCTTCACAAAAGTTTGGACAATTTTCCATCACACTGAAAATGCCAATAGTAATCCCATATTGAGGTAAAGGGGTCATTTCAGCTCAAATTCATCACATAGCAGGTGTTCTGCTGCAGCCCTCATTAAGTTTATCAGCCCTGCTCCTTTTCGCACAAAAAGCCCAATTTAGCCCAAACCTAATGGAATCACCTTAAAGACTGTGGAGTCACTGTCTCTGAGGCGTGACTGTAATCAGAATGTACAAAGCACCTCAATTCACAAAAAGAAAGTGCTCAGGCGTTCGTCGTAATGCGTGCAAAAGCTCACTGGCCATTTTATTAGGTACACCAGTTTAATAGCTTAACCACAGAGGATGTAACCCAGATAAGAGCGGAGTATTATAAAATCGAGGTTCCAACATTGCGTTATAAAAAGATGATCGTGGGACTCTGGGCTAGCCTAGAGCAGCGGTTCTCAAACTTAACACTCAAAAGTACCACCAAAGAAAATATTTAGCTACCAGATTGAAAACATGACTATTCTAGGTGTCAAGTAGGATTATATTAAAACAGCTCTAAAATGAGACACTTGCTATAGTTGTTCTAAAATAGGACTAGCTAAAGACAGTCTTGAGCATAAAATGACTCTATTCAACAATATTTGAACTACAGATGAATGCACGTACAACAAGTTTGAGAATATGGCCAAGAGGGTTTTAGAAAGTACATTTCTCATCTTCTGACACAAAGAGAGAGCCCAAAATCCAGGGTATTTTTTGTCAAATAAACATTGTTGTAGCTGGTATAAGTATGATGCACTGTATGTCTACCTGAGCAGCAGAAACTATTTGCTTTGACCAAACTTTACAAAGACGAGTGGATCTGGAGCTGTATCCTGTCTCCCTGCTTGAAGATGTGATTGACAGGGCAATTAACCAGTCAGAGAGTTGGTTTGCTCGCGTCAAAAACAAACTACATGACATGACTGCTTGTAAAAAATGGGAAAAAACTACATAAAGGACTGAGGAATAGTGTGGATTTTTGCTGAATCAACAGTTGAAGCTCCAAACTATTATCTCAGGGAAAAGAAGTTATATATTTTATTCTGAATGATAAGAGTATTCGAGTGGAGAAGTTTGTCGCATCTGAGGGACACATGCTACGAATGACCAGCTGTGGTTGGATTGTCTCAAGTTTGGACAGAGGTTTGCCGCGCTCTGTGGTGCCAATTCCAGTGCCTCTTGGATTCGAACAGAATATAGGAGGGACTGGCTGGTGAGGCAAATTGAATGTGGCAGTGTACAGATATGTTTAGCTCAAAATGGCTGCCACATGTGCGTCATCCTTGCCCTGCTTACACACGAGGCTCATCACCTCCAGTGTGAATGAGAACTGAACAATGCGCTAAATTGCATCGGCATTAGAAAAAGGTACAATATAGATCATAGCCATTCTACTTTTTATTTATAAAAACAGATTGACTTTTTCCATTATCAGCACCATGTTGAGCACTTTTGTTGTTTTGGGTTATTTATTGCTATGGTAACGTTTCCAAAATCTGCAGTGTTCCAGCTCAAAACATTCAAGTCGTCACATCCCCCCAAGTTAAGGGGGTGTTCCTAATAATCTGGCCACTACCTTCACACACATGCAGCAGTTTGTTTGTTGGTTGTTATAAATGGCGGCGCTCACCTTGACGTTTCCTCCGATGAGGTCAGGCGGCTCTTCGTCTGTCTCCAAGGCGACGTTGATGGTGGCGAAGGGGCGACTGGCCATCTGCTGCATCTCCCTCAGCAGTTGCTAAGAAAAGAGGCAAGAAAATGTGAAGGTTAAGAGATTAATAAAGACATAGTCTACTATTCAAAAAAATGTACACAATGAGCATGTGTAGTTATATGGTATTTAACAGGGTCTGTGAAGTTGCAGTGTAAACAACATGGAAAAACCTGAGAGGAGACAGCTGTTTTTCTTTTATAATTTGAGGAGACAAAACTGTAGCACCGTAACCTAAATTATTGTGGATAGAGCTGTGGGTAATATGATTCAAAGAAATATTCACTTTGTTTTTCTGGGGATGAGTTTGGTTGTTTTTGTTGTTTATTTGATTTAATGGTTTCTTCTGAAAACCAAGAATTACTTTTGATAATAAGGTTCATGAACAAGAACAAAGTAGACTTGAAAACTCAACGTGAACAAATGAAAGCTTCTCATTCAAAAATACCCCAAAACATATTAACAAACTCCTAAAACATGAAAAACAAAACTAGTTCATTTGAAGCTGTTTGTTACTTATTTAATGCATTGTAATTATTCACCGCAATCCATAAGTCTATATAAGCGTTTTTCACAACTTTCAGAGGCCAGATCTGAGTTTACTGCAATAAAAAGCTCTATAATTATAACAGAGAACAGGCATTGGTCTCATTTTCACCGTAAGAGCTGATTTTGCAATGTATCTGTTTTGGGGCAAAACATACCATATTTTTCGGACTATAAGTCACACTTTTTTTCATGGTTTGGGTGGTCCTACGACTTACACTCCAGTGAGACTTATATACTAAAATTTTCACACTGACAGCCGTGAGAGGGCACTCTAGGGTTGTGTGTCAGTATTTGTTACTCCTATTAATCCTGTACCACTGTCACTTGGCTCTCTAGTAGTAGCAAGTAGCAAAATATGCAGATGAAAACAGTAATCGAGCAGCAGAAAGAAAGTTTGAAGTGAACGAGAAACTTGTGAGGGACTGGCGGAAAGTGGGGATGGAGAACACAGCTTTACGGTAACCAGGAGGGTGTGCCATGCAACTTTCCTGAAAGTCATTGGTTGGATCCACAATGCTATTGTTATGACTATAACTTGACTTGCAAGATGAAATGTCGGTTCCTGGTCTCTCATTTTATAAAATACATTTCCCCCAAAAAGTGCGACTTATACTCTGGAGAGACTTATAGTCTGAAAAATGCGGTACATGAAAAAAAATTGTATACAGGACCTTTAAGTATCTAGAATAATAGTTTGGAACTAAGACTTTGGTAGGAAACTGCAATAGATGGGTAGAATATGCCGAGAAGTTGTAAAAAAAAAAGAAAAAAAAAGAAATACTTTTTACTTAGTCAACTTTTTCAAGTCAAAAAAGGAAAACATAATTCCTCCCCTCCCCGTTTCGTCCATAATTCAGTAGCTTCTATCTAGCACGGACGATTTGACTGTTCCCATGTTTACCTCACTATGCATAAAAACACAAAATGAGTCAAAACTACTGCATTGTCAAAGATGCCGTGCTATTTTGAAAAGAGCCGTTTCCATTGAAGAAAAGTAATTTCTAAGCAAAGCAAAGTCTAAGTATTGTACACACCATAACCACCAACATTGCCTTATTATGCCGCATCTCTCTGCTTTTATGTTCCTATGACGATGTTTTCTCAAAAAGACATAATAACTTACTAAATATTCAAAGAAAACACCATGGCAACACGTATAAGGAATATTCATATAGTCGGCAAACAACTGCGAAGTCGATGATAACACATTTGCACCTAGAGAAAGTGTTTGGTTTTGCTCTAGCCTTGAATTCATTTACACCTTTACAGCTCTCCCATCACACGCTCTCATTTTCCCTATAGAAACAAAACTCGTCAACAAAGTCACATTCCTACAGCCAGCCCCTCTCTTCCACACATGCCTGCTATTTTAACCACTTTCACAACACATCTTTCTATCGTTAAAGGGCTCATGTTATGCCATTTTCTGATCTTCACCTTAGGACTGTGATGCTAAATGTGGCACTGCTCTGTCTGAGGTTGTTCTGAGCTTTAATTTAACCCTATCTGACTAGAAAGAACCGACTGAATTGGAACTACAACAGGTGAGACAACAACTTTTCAGTTTGTCGCTCAGCTTTTTATTGAAACTCAATCTCTAAACAGGACCGTGAACTCTCGTACTGATCACTAGCTCTTAAAAATGTGCTGTTTAAAGACATTTTTTTATATATATATCTTTTCTTGAGCTTTTCATCTTACTATATTTACTTATACGTACACTGTGTCACCATGGTAACCGGTGAATAGGGCTGGGTATCATTAAGAAGTTGCAGATACGATACATACCTCGGTACACAGGCCATAATAGGAAACATACCTCGACACATAGGCCACGATACGATACATACCTCGATACATAGGCCACGATACGATACATACCTCGATACATAGGCCACAAAACCTCAATACATAGGCCATGGTACGATACATACCTCGATACATAGGCCACGATACGATACATACCTCGATACAGTGCACTTTCGATTCGATACAATATATTTCAAAGCGATGCAATATGGTTCAGTATAAAAGAAAGGCTAAATCATGGCTGTGATTCTAAAAGTCTTTGTTACACTATGTCTTGTGCAAAGACAACATGAAAAAACGCCATTTTACTCATCAGAACAGTGAATATATCGATATTTTGATATGTCTGCACTCTATACAGTGGGCTTCGAATCGATACAATGTATTTCAAATCGATTTAATACGCTTTAATAAAAAATAATTTCTAAATCATGGCTGTGGTACTAAAAGTCTTTGTTAAACTATTTATTGTATGTGTAAGGGAATATGAAACACACACATTTTAATCATCAAAACTGTGAAAATGTCAAATGTGTTGCATAAACAAGTTACCTTCCTCTGAAGAAGCAACAAAACTGCAGCACTGTAACAAAATAATTCTGTAAAATATACCAAAAAATACTCTTGGCGATATGTCGATACAGCAGCCTACGATATCCATACTGTATCATCACATTAAACAACACGATATATCAATATTTCAATATTTTTGCACACGTCTACATGTAGAACACCCCAGCATGACGTTACCACAAAGTAGGAAATAGGCAACATTTTGTCAATTTTTTTTGTCAAACCAACTTTTACTGCAGCATAATTCAACTCTACAACAACAAACAGAAGACTTACAAAAATAGAGTGACAAGAGCCATTAACAGCGAAGGGCAAAAGACTAGCTTCATTACGATAAGTGTCCTATGACTTTGTATAGTTAGCTCAGTGTAGCGACTGCAGTAAATAAGCAGCAGCAAATGAGAAGACGGCGAGATGATTGCGGTGGTGCTGTTTAGTGGTGATTATGCTTCCCACTGTCAGAGGCTTCACAGGGACCAGATGCCATTGAAATACTTTGAACCAGATGAGAGACAGGTTTGTATACGCACAACAAGAACACGAACACGAACCAAGGTACAGGGGATGAGTGTAACAACGAGGCAGCTACTTCTGTCATTTAACAGTACATCTGAGCAACAACGTATACTTTATTCCATGATGAAACGAGATGTAGCCTGCAAGGACTTTTTTTTAACACGTTGCATCGTCATCAGAACTATACTTTGTTGAGATGTGAAATTTGAAAAAATGTTGTGCATTGAAGTTCCTGAATGAACCCAGGTGAACTAGTGTATATTGTACAGTGTATAAATACTCAGACAGTATTATACCAGGGTGTTTTGAGAATCCAAGGACACTCGGGTGGATCAGGTTGTACGAGCGGCTACAGTTAAAAAAAAAAAAAAACTGAAAAGATCTGCTCAATAAAAAGTCTAATGTGTAAACTGACTCATCAAAACTATAAAGAAGACATATAGATAAAAGTCTGGATTTTAAACCATATTTAGTAGTTGTTTTTTAAGAACTAAACTACTAAACTAATCTATTACTATTACTAATGATTAAACTATTAGAAACTTGATTTTGTTTGAAGTTGTAAGTTGCATGAGAGAATAACTTTGATTAAAGGTCAGATATTATGCAAAACTGACTCTTGTGAGTTTTAGATTAGAATGTTGTTTCCTCATCAAAAACATACTTGGAGTTTGTTTCATTCACACATGTTGCGCTATGTCTACTTCTGCAAATGTCAACATGCGCTTTTCCACCTTGTGATGCCATCAGTTGGTAATTTTCAAGTTAACAGCCAACAGCAGAGTGTTTTCAGTTCGAGAGAAGTAAATAAGCAGGATTTGGGTGTTAAACATGTGTGAATGAAACAAACACAACTTTGAGTATATTTGTGATGAGGAAATGTCAGAAAATAGTGTAACATGGGCCCTTTAAAGTTATAGCAGCAACAATATCAGAGTTGTGATGAGGTTTGTGTACAGATCTGTATGCAGATGACTAGTCTTTTCATAAGCACTGCTCCTTGAACAGCACAAAGCCACAGAATTGATTTAGTGGATAAGAAGCAGATGGGGAAGCATCTGAATGTAGCCGTAAACAAACTTTATGGATTCCCCGGGCGTCCTGTGAAAACAGAGGAGTCTCCAGTGGATCACAGGTAAAACCTTTGTCTAATCGAGCACTCATCTCCATATTTACAGTTCAGTGTATCGACGCTGTCTTGCTGATAGTGACTGTGAATGTAAACAGATGTGGAGAGCTCAGGGTCTGAATTTTAATAGAGAACTCCAATTACACCATCTGTGAGGAAGTTTAGGAAGACTCCTATAGATCTTAGAGGTCCTGTGCCTGAACCATGATAGAAGAACATGGAACAGTTTGAACTTCTAACCCTGCCTGTTTAGAACAAACTTGGCACTGTTGCTTCTTTGTGGTCTCATCCAACCCAAATGTCATTTATATGTAGAGCATGGCTGATACATAATTCCTTCACTGAGGGTGATTTCCAGTAGGCAGGCTGACACCACCTAGTGCCTCCACTCAATTTCATTTCTCTCCAGCAACCAGGTCAGGAATCAGAATACACTAGATGGTTTGCAAGA